AAAATACGCCACTGGAACCCTGTCTCATTTCACACCATATTACCCTAGTCGTCATTCTGTGATGGATTCTGTTTTATGATTAAAAAACTAGATAGCTTTTGTTTCTCTCTGGTGTTTCCAGCGTTTCAGTTTTGCAACCCAGCATGAAAAAGTTTCTTGCGTGTCCAAGCGAAAATTCCACGGAAAATGTTCGTGCTTGTAAACCAATTAATAGACAAATAGTTCTCGGTAAATTAAGATGACATTTGGAAAGCAAGCACTCCTGCCAAAAGAAAAAGAGGTGTCAAAGTTATTACCTTGTTGTTGATTGTGCGTAGCAAATCTTTTCGCGTATATGCCTAAGGCTTAATTCATGGGCTCACGAATTTTCATTTCCCCCGTATTATTGGTTCTGACGGTCCATAGGACTGTGCAGGGTGCCGCAGATGTCTCGTACCGCAAAGGATGCCACAGGGGAGGAAAGGTTGAGAATCGCTGGTATAGATAAACCTGCACTATGACCTGTACCGGATTCGAAATAAGGTTCAGCAAACCGATGAACTTGAATGGTTCTGGAGGTGTACATTTTTACGCGTTTTATTGCCTTCCGGGCAAACGAACTCGCAACACTCACGCCTTCAAGCGCTCGACGATAATAATATATAGAGCAAGCAGTCCGGTTTCTGGCCGGTCTCCAGTTGTTGGCCAGTAAGGCTTGAATCCAGCATAATTAGTTCAAATGGCCGTTTTCGAGCATTCTATCAACATCTTCCCGTGCGAGGACCTATTACTAGTGTTTCCGGTGCGCGCACGGGGTGTCCACTTCCTATGGGAGGAAGTATCAGCGTGGCCAAAAACTGAGGGGGTTTACCCTACAGGTATTACCCTACAGATGGTTATTTATGGGAAGCGCGGATATTTCCTCGTCATGTCGTATGGGGAGTGCAGATATATCCGCATGGTTGGGTAGGCTATTAACTGTGGTCTTTCTGCCATCTGTTGAACGGTTGATCAAATTCGTTCAAGATATCATTAATTGTGTTTCCCGGTGCGCGCACGGGGTGTCCACTTCCTATGGGAGGAAGTATCAGCGTGGTCAAAAACTGGGGCTTAAGTGGCCAAAAAATTTGGTGTTTACCCTATGCAATTTTGCGAAAAATCCTCCCCAGCGCGAAAAAGATATGGGTCGGAGCGTCCCCCAATGAAGAGATTAATGCACCGTGAACTTGCGCATTTCCCTACTGCTTACAAATAAAGTGGTAAGCAATTGATTGCATAAAAAATTTTCTGTTGAGACGGCACGTTACTTCTGCTTATACGAGAGATTTCATTGAAGAAAAAACTTGAGGCTAGCAGCATTAAATTATTATTTATCTTATTACTCATTATTTATTGCTACCCCAAAGACCACCATACTAATTTATAACTTTCTATGCACATTTCAACAGATTTCAGAAAACTTTCATTTCGTCTTGCGACTCTCGGTAGAGTAAACTTACCAAGAGTAACAAGTTGCAGCTGCAATCAATTCAGATGGACCTGGTTTTGCTAAAAAAAATAGTTCAAATCTCTTCGAGAGAAGTAAAAAAAATTATTTTATCTATTAATATTTATAATTGAATCTATTGTTACATTGACGAAACAGAAATTGACATCTTGACTTGCCACTTAGGGCAAGTCCACTTGCCGCTCAGGGTGTAGATGTTGTCACTCAAAGTAAGTTGCAGGGTTGTGTGCAGGTATTTTTTTCGCCCTGAAAATCTGCGCTATATCATTTCCATATATAGGGGTCTTTTAACAGACACAACTCCATCCAAACCCAAAATTTGAACTCATCCGGTGCAATGGCTTGACCATTGCGACAGATCCAGGAAAATCCTTGCCACTCGAGGTAAATTTATGCTATAAGGAATACTGAGGTAATATTTGCAATGCGTCACCTAATGCGCCACAAAATCCCTACCAGGTCTTCTACTCGAAGGTAGGAACTGGGGGCGATTGTCATTGGGTTTTATTGTGAAATATTTTTCATTTGTACTGTACAGTACCCCTTGTAGAAAAACAGCAACAAATTTTAAGTTTTTTTTTTTGGGGGGGGGGGGGGTGGGACTTAGTTTTCCCCTGGAAATTCCCTCTTAATTTTTTCCTTCATGCAGTACCATTTGTGACGCAGCTGACCTACCAAATCAGTGGAAAATGCACATTATGGTTTTAATCAAATTTTCCTAAATCAGCACCCCGAGAAATACTTGTATACCGAATTTCAGCTTTCTATCATATCTGGAACGTACTAAAATTAGCGCCTCTCACTCACTCACGTCTATGTAAATTAAATGTTCTCCAGTGCAGATTTTACTTTGTGTTCTAAAATTTCCGTTAAAAAAGCAAATGGTTCATCGAGTCAAGAGGAGCACCGTGAACGCATTTCGAGGTCCGATAATGTCCGATAATAATAACATATGGGTATGTTGACTTCCGTCGATCTTCATTCACGAGAGCGAGAAATCCAATCATTATCATGGCTTGTCCAAGAGAAGGTTTCCTTACTCTTGTTTACAATGTACATGGTTTGACTGTACCTTCTTATCTTGTGGAAGGAAACCTTGCCACCAGACGATGATCCGAGATACCCCGACGTGATAAGAGTAGAGTAGAAGAGAGACGAACCCCAATAGACCTACAGCTGCCACCACTACCTTCTTTCTCCTCAAAAATCCTTTGATTCCCTTGGTGCCGAGATTCGAGACTGCAGCGGCATGGATGAAGGGTGTGAGAGCGGGAAATTGAGATTCCTGTACTGCGTTCCCAGGAATCCGTCCAAGCTTTTCCACCACTTCCTCCACCCTCTTCCCGATCACGCCTCCCACCTTCAATTTCATCTTCACCCACAACTGAGACTCTGACATGATTCTTCTTCTCTTCACCCTCTTCTCGGCGTACAGCGCAAGCCCCAGCACTTCAAGGCTATTATCTCTCGCTTCTTTCCTTCCCCGATGCTTTCCTTTGTTCCATATTGTGAACATGTCTACCCTTCCCTTTTTTTTATTCCCGTCGCCTCAGGTGTTGGCTGGGTTGAAAATATAATGGATTTATGAGCAGCTGAGGCTTAAGGAAACTTTGCTTTACAGAAAAAGTGTTATATCCAGTGGAGAGTCATAAGGTAGTTGGAATTCTCTGCGCAGCTGAAAGGCACTTATCCAATGCGCATGCGCAGTCAAAATATGCATTGCACAAAACCAAATGTATTGGACAGAAATAGCTATTTCCTTTCGAGGTCTCGCGACATTTGGTTACTCTCTGGCCCTCCGCAGCATGTTTAGCATTATATAGTTGGTTTTTTTTTTCGAATAAATATTTTGACTATTTCTAACTGCTCTGCATCGTCCGGAATTGCCTTAATATCCAAAGGCCTTTCTAATGTAATAGCATTGTGGTTTGAAAATAACGTGGCAAAACAATGGCCGTAGATGTGCGTTACAATACATGGTAAAACTCGTGAGACGGGAGTTTCCTTACGTTATTTTCTGTCGTATGCCACTTTGAATACTATTGCCTTTACATAGGACAACGATTTAAATTTTTCTCAGGGCCTTATTTGCGCCCAGCTGGCCCCAGTGCCACTTTTTTGCCTCTATATTAGTCATTAACCCAACGTATCTGCTTCACTTTACAATCAATCTCCTGAACTTGTATGTAATTCTGCTCTCTTACATTGCCAGATTGTCGAATAAAACATGCGGAAATGTCTATGGCGTCGCACTGACACTTGCATAAACGATTGGACTGGAAGAAATAGGAGAAAATTATAATGCGTGAATGAGCATAGGTGCGCTCCGAGACTAGCTTCTCACCCCTGCTTATGGACATACCTTCCCTCCTCTCGTCGTCCACACTCCACATACCTTGGTTATGTCTAGCAATGACAGGCCCACTTTGTGAACGATGAACTTTGCTCGTTCCTCAACGCTTTCTGATCACATTTCTATGCAATGTTGATTTCTTCAGCAGGAAAAAATTAAGGCACCACAGTGCATAGAATGCCGGTGTTGTACGATATTTTTACCCTCCACCCCTTAATAGAAATAAAGGGAGTTAGTTTTTTTTTATAAAGTAGAATTGTAAGTTAGTTTGCCAAAAGAGAATATATTTATTGTCAGAAACTGATCACACGAAATCATAGCAGAACATCCTCCTGCAGAGGATGATGTTTCTTCTTCCCTGCCTTCATTTGCCTTTTACCTCCGGTGAGCTTGAATCTTTGATGTGGCTTTGAAGATCGCCCTGAGGAATCAACACTGCTAAGCCGATAGCGAGGCGTAAAAGGAACACTAAAAGGCAAGGAAGAAATAGCCGCCGAGGAAGAGGCGAACTCTCTTCATTTCCATTAAGGGAGGGGGGGGGAATATCATACGACACCGGCACTACGGTACCTTTTCACCTACTCACGTTAAAGAGATCAGAACGCATGCTTAATTAAAGAATGAACTAGACCAGGGGTGTCAAACATACGGCCCGCCGTCTGCTTTTGAAATTTACCGCTTGAATTGAGTGTCAGCACAAATTTCAGTGAAATTTTATGGGTGCGGCCCGCAGGCATCTGCAGGGTAAGGAATGCGGCCCGCCGACCGATTTGAGTTTGACACCCCTGAACTAGACATTTCTCATGCATAAAACTGAACCTCCTGGTCACGGAATCTTTTGAATCTGTGTCAAACTCGAATAAGCTGGGGATCAGATGAAACCCTTCAGGGGTGGTTGGGGGCCACACTAACTAATTTTAAACTAAATTATTAATGCGAACTGGTTGAAATCTCAGAGCTTTTTCAAAACCAACTAGTGAAATGGACTTCGCGAGCCGGACAAAATGAACTAACCGGCCTGATCCTGGCCGCGGGTCGCCAGTTTGACACCCTGATCTACAGCACCACTGAAGAAAACCAAAACAATATAATTGCCAATATAATGTGTATATATTCTTTTTTTTCGGCAAGCGTTACTCGTTGGGGGAATGGCAAGGGCTTTCAAGGGATGAGGATCTGCTTTTGTTCGGTGAGAGCCCGAGATTCGTGGAGAAAAACGGACAAGTGAATTCCCTGAGCTGTAGCCGCCCTGCAAAACCCAGAATTGGCAGACACCGTCACGCATTCCATGGCATCTGCTGTACCAAATACGATCCGAGATCTTTCCTTCATCTTCCCATTCGAATTCAGAGACCTCACCCGATCTGACGGATTGTCTGGTATCACTCGCACTCGCAGTATGAATTCCTTGCTTCTTTCCTTCTCTTTTGGGCCACCAACAGTCGCTAGGATGCTCTCGAAGTCCTTCACGGCCGTCTCGCAACAAACCAGTTCACGATTCTCGAACAATCGGTCCAAAATCGGTTTCAATGGTCGTTTCCGTTCCCATTCTGCCTGTTCCGATAGGATCGGTTCGCGAAATATCATCCCTTGGGGACTGGAGTTGGTGAGTTCACTGGCATAGGCCAACATGGTGCTCACGTCCAGATTAAGGACTCCAGAGATTCCATCGTCATTCCCATAGAAAATCCTTTCCTTCGACGGCGGGCCGATTTCCACCCTCACGCCAAGGGAAGTAAGTTCTTTCTCCACTTCCTCGGTGAGTCCGTTCAGAAAGGCGAATCGAACGAGAGGCGGGTGGAAGCGGACGGGATGGTCTCTACTAACCTTCACGAAGTCCTGACCTTGGTCTACGATGCTTCGTTGCCCGTAACTCCCTTCCCCAGTGGCATTCATGTGCAGAGATTTCGGATTTCTAGCAATGACCTTGACCCACGTCCTTCCTTCGTCTCCCACCACGTCCACTTCAATTCTTTTCCCTTTCGGATTATTGGATTTCAAATCACTCGACACTGAGCAGCAGGGGAAGGGCTGCAGCACACCGATGATACCTGGCTCCTTGTGCATCCTCTCAACTATTCCCTTTAAGTGATGGAGATTAGAACATTGCCCAGCATTCTTCTTTCCTTTTGGAGACTCCAGGTATTTGATTTCAGCCGAAAGCCGTCTCCTCAGCTTGTCAATGCCCTTCACACAATGACAGGGTCCTTCCGAACCCGAGAAACACTTGCGGTCCTTGGGGCAATTAGTTGCCAGTTCCAAAGTTTCTCTTCCCATTGCTATCAGCTCCTCGATGGGATCCAACTCTTCACCACCTTCCTTCTTCATTTTCCCAAGTCCCTGTTCATAGGAAGGACCACCACAAACAAACTGGATAAGAGATCAAGCTGTTTTTACACGCCTCCAGGATGGCATAGGACCGTGAAAGTCGCCATCTTTGACTAGACTGATACGAAACTGCTCATGATAGAGACCTGCATGGGATTTTCTGGTTGGGGAGGGGGAGAAAAGCCAATAGAATTTCAAATCAAATTACCATAAAATCCATACTTCACCGAGCATGAGGGTGAAGGCTAGAAGATTGAAGTCAGTGTTGAAGATTATTCCTGATAGGAATTACGACAGACAATGCCTGCTAGGAGTTTAGTTAACTTTTATTTTTATTTCCCTCATAGGTCGAATGCAAAATGGCAGCCGCTATGGAACCACGAGGTGCCTTATTCGGTGAATGACCACTCTCTCCCTTTTCCGTGCCGATCGTTGACTTTGTGGGACAGGATGGCCCTATTTCAGAATTCCATAATGAGATTTCGCTGCCTATCCCGAGGCGGCCATCCGTTGCTCTTTCAACTCAATACAGTCCTTCCAAGAGAAACAGAACAGCGACGATGGATGAAGAACCCGAAATGCCATCTTGAATGGAAGGTCAAGGTTCATTGGGAGATACCAAAAGGAGTGAAAAAATATGCCCCAGAAGACACTGGAGATTTGGAAGTCTTCACGCCGAATTTCCAAGACAGTTACCCCGTTTGGCTGCAAGGCTGCAAGTTGTTAGAAACGTGGGTTCTGCTGCACTGTAAAACCATTGTCGTAGGCCTAAGCACGATGTTACATTAGTTTTTACCCCCGATTAGGCATAAGGTCAAGTTTTATTTTGTGGCTTTTCAAGTACAGGGCGGTCTTGGCACTTACCCACACTAAATGACAGGCAACTCCATGTCTGCCACCTTTGGAGATGCTGCCCAGGCATAAGTTGGTTCAGGACTGCCCTAGACACAGCCACTCCCTTTCATTACATGCAGTCTGAACAGTGGCACTCAAATTGTGACCCTTGGGCTGCATGTGACCTGCAAAGGTCTCATTCATCTTGTGGAAATAAAATGTACTTCGCAATAATTTAGAACTTATTTATCCATCTACCTAAAATTAAATTTTTTTTACATGTGGCCTCCATAAGATTGATACCATCCATATGCAGCCTCCAATTCAAAAAGCTGAGTACCATTGGTATATAGAGATGAATCTCTGTTTTCATGACTTGTCATACAGATGGATATAAATTAGGACTAATGTGATTTATAGTTATGCAATTTTCCATTTCAATCCAATTTGGAGGCCTTCACATCTTGGACTGTCTGAATGATACAAGATCAGGGTCTGATGTATTCATATAACCTGTTATATGGAGGAAATGTATGCAATATGTTTCAGGGCTGATGAAACTACCAAAGAACTTCTCTCTCTCAACTATTCCAAGGCACCTGATCAATATGAATCATACCAGATGAATCTGAGTCAGAGAGTTCAACGACATAAGCTGGATTTGGATTCACCTGAAGTTCAAAGTGAGTTAATGTTACTGCTGGGAATAATCTGGAAATGTATTTTCTCTGACCCTTTTTTTTCGTGTCTTTGTATTTTTTAAGTTGCCAAAATGACAGCAAGGCTTAGATGGCTCCAGTGGCTCATGTGCACAGCAGAGAAGAGGAGGTGTAAAAACCAATTCAGAGGTGCTGTGAGGAAGTTAATGGACCAGAGAAGACAGGCATTGGAGATGATGAGATTGTCTGACTACAAGTGCTATGAATGGGTCCTAGAAAAGCTGCAGATCATTCACAAGCCAAAGCCTCCGTGAGTCTCCCCTTTTGAAAATGTGATATAAAAACTGATTCAAAGTTATAAAACTTTCCATGTTGCTTTTGTCTTCAGGATCTACATAAACATACAGAGGAGGCAGTCTCTTCGTCGTCTCACTTCTGAGTATGTATACAAGCTGAAGAAGGAGAAAAGAGAAGCACTGCATCAGGAATTGAAAGAGAAGCAGGAGGAATTTCTTCGTGAGAAGATTGAAACTCTTAAGTGGATCATGATTGAAGAAGGAGATCTCAAAGTGACTCCAACTATCACAGAGAAAGATGTTCAACAGGCTGAACAAGAACTTGAGGAATTTCTCCATCAGAAGGAACAGCATGTTGAAAAGGAGGAAATCCCTTTCCCAGGAATGTGGAGGTATGACTTTGTTGTCACTGGAGAGGATTATGTTGACAAAAAGGAGCTGCTGCCTTACAGGAACTGTGAGCAAGTGGAGGAGTACGACACCAGGCAATGATCCCTCCCCTCTTTCCTGCATAGTGTATGTGCTAGATGTTACAACAAAAAAGTCACTTTTGTTAACTTCCATGGATAACTTTATTGCAGCTGGTATTCCTTGTGAGAAAATGCCATCAGTTTTCAGTGTCAACGTTCTCGTGAAATTCTGTGGCACTGCACTTCTCACTATCCATTGAAAGCAGCTGACACAACAGTCCATCTTTCCTTTCTATTAAAGCACAACATAATTTCTCCAAGGAATGCAGCACCTCCTTCAAGGTTGCATATTAAAAAAAAAGGCACGTGGACATCACAGATGAAGAGAGCATAAATTAGCATGGGTGAGGAGCAAAAGAGAACACGTCTTTTTTTTTGGCACATGGCAGCACATGGCACTCATGGTGTGTGGGGAATATCAAAGACTTGTCATGGCAGGAGGGCGTGCATACGCCTTGGGGATGAAGCCATATTTACGAGTCTTTGGAGAGTATGCCCACAGCCAACCATCTACTGTCTGGTTATTCAGGTCTGCATACACCCAATCACCTCTCCTCACTGATAAGTCATCTGGTGCTTGTGCCTGAAAATGTGGAATCCTTGCAGTTAATTATCAGACATCCACCATACAAACATAAACCCTTTTTAACCATTATCTGAGCAAGTTATGAGATGAATGTAACAAGGCAATGAGGGTCTCTAGGACTCCATATTTCTTCAAGTGTACATTGTGTGAAAACAAAGGGGAAAAACATGTTTATCATAAAGCAGTCTTTCCGTTACTGATTCCAATGAACTTGAAAAATAATGCAAAATTAATTTTGACATTTTTAACTCAAAACAAAATAAAAATAGGCTCAGGAGTCCAACAAACTCCCTTTGCCCAGATACTGGTTAAATGCCACTCGATCTCCATGTACCTTATAGTCATAGAGCATAAGGAGCTCTGTTCCATGAAAACGCATCTCCTCTGCTTGCACAGAGGAGGAATTATATTGATGGGGAGGAGAATTGTGGAGTCCAGATTGGTTATTCACATTGCCTGGACTTGCTCCTCCACCACTGCCCAAGCCCATTCCACCACCGCCTCCACTTGGACTCATTGACCCTGCAATGGAAACACCAAACACATAATGCAAGAGAGGTAAAATAAAATGTTATTTCAAGGGGAAAATCAAGTTTCTGGCTGGTCAACTTGAAGTAAGCAGGGATTCCTATTGATACGGAAAGGCCCAGGAGAGAAAATGACTGAATTTTGAGCTTCTAAAGTTCTTACAAATATTTTTTACCTTAAACTCATAAAGAACAATGGCTAATATGTGCTCTATAGGCCAAAATGTGAATGTCAGGATTAGTGTGATTCATGACCCTATTCATGGTTTAGCTACAATGTAGTACCATGAATAGATACCATTGCAGGATTTCAAGTGCCAAAGTACATGTCATTTTAGTTTCAATTGTTTCAATAGTGCTAAAAATTTTAATCAGTGGTTTTGTTTGTAAAGTACAAAATGCTGAATTTGTAAGATGCATACTGGTTATAAATAAGACTGTGATTATACCTGTGTCACCACTACATAGTAATTTTTTATTAAATCCACCTCACTGGCTGAAGGCCAGACAGTATAGTCTCCTGGGGCATAGAATGTCAAACATAGAAGCCTCAAATATGAATGACATGTCGATTTGTCAATTTCTCAGATGTGTTAATGGAGTGAAGGAGTAAGCTTCAATCCATGGTGTCATTTATCATCAGCTGGTTTCAGTGCTTCACTCAGTACCTTAACCTTGGCAACTCTTCCCTGCTGAACTGAGCTGCGACTTCTTGAACTCCTCATGAAGCCAGGCTTCAACCCATGAACTTACAAAATGTCCACATTTTAATCTGGATTGACAAGGTATGTGGTTTGACCATGTGCCAATGTAAATGTAAATGGTTAAACTACATACTTGCAAGTGGCTTGCAAGTCCAGATTCAAATATAGAAGTTCAGGGACTTGCATTTTTACTTGCAATCTGTTAGGTGGGAGGGCAAAATCATCACAGTCCCTATTTTTGTTCATATCTCTTATTCAACATTTTGAGTGTTAAGAGGAACTGGTATCATAGTAGAATCCTCCACAATAAACTTTTGTGACCTATATTCTATAATTGCAGGTATGCCCCCTTTCCCATGTTGGTACCATAGTATTCCCCCCATTTTCATATAAAAAAATGTAAAATTAAAAGAGAGAACATAAAGCATTTCTGTTACTACTTTGCAATGTCATCAATATTTTGTGTCTATCTAGGAAATGATGAATACAATAATTTCATACCTTGAATGATATCAGCAGGATAGACAAATGCTGATGGGATGAAACCTTCTTGTCCATCACTCCTCACAACCCAAAACCAGTCTGGGTCTTCCCTGTTTAGGACAGTGACGAACTCTCCCCTCTCCACACTCACGTCATTCTCATCACGAGCAATGAAGGTGTACAACACAATATACCTCCCAGCTGGATCCTACATCACCAAGGACAAAGATGATGACATGTCCACCACAGATGTGAATGAATTAGGATATGTGATTGAAAGAAATATTAGGGGACTACCTTGAAGAAGGGATGGATGTCAGGTTGCGATGAACCACCACTCTGAAGGGAACATTGGGAATCATGGACTTGATTCACTCCTCCTGCTTTCAATACTCCCAGACTTTCACTGTCTGAGTTTTCCATTCCTCCTGGACCTATAGAAAATGTCTGGCTTCAAATGTGAAAAATCTAACTTGAAGAATATGACTGTGAGAGGTCATTTAGTACTGTTTCCTCACAGTTGCATATGCAAGCTTTCAGTATGCAGGAGTCTCAGTATTGAGGAGTTTGAACCTGATAACATATCAGGAAAAACTTCTTATGTTGCTTCATTCTCATGTGCATCACAAGAGTTGGGGATGGGGGAAGCAAAAACAAACTCACAAACGTAAAAAAGGGAGGAGACAGTTATCAGGGGTTGAGGAGGGGTTCAAGCCCCTTCAGTCCCCCTACCCCTTTTCACATGCTTCTGTTCCCTCATAATTCTGAGAACATGCAACTATTGTCTACAAGACACCATGTCCACAAGCAATAGTACCTTCAGTTTGCATTTTTCATTTCAAAGGAAGAAAAACTAAAGGGGGCATGCATGAAGTCTAATGGTGCTTGGAAGAGTTGCAAGCTTTTATGCACCTGTGCTAGTGATGGTGGCAACAGTAGTGTTGTGGAGTTCTCTATCAACTCCACCTCCCTCCATAGTGGAATGATCTGATCGAGGAATTTTCTTGTGTTTCACACTCAGTGCCAGTTCTGCCATCTGGGATCCATATGGAGCACAGTAGGAGTGGGGTATAAATCCTTCTGCATTGTTTTCTGATATCACATACACCCATTCATTTTCCTGGTACAGGACATTCACCACCTGAACAGAGGACATGGATATATTATGGATGACACTTGGACTACATTCTGAGCTGAAGATACATGTCTTACAGATTAAAAATTTTACAAATAATCAAACACTGCCTGCTTGGACTCCAAGGGAAGTTGGGTAGGTGAATGCAGAGTCATAACAAAGCACCATACATCAGCAGTTGGCTTCCCTCCAAAACAAAGTGCCAAATTTAAGGTCTTTATTGAAAGCAAAAGCATTGAGTTTTATGGTCCAATTGTTAAGAGTAGGAACCCTTGCATGACATGTCTGATAAAGCCAAAATAGGGCTTGCCATACCTCTTTGGACAGCTTAACAGCTCAACTTAAAATTCTCCCTGGAAACAACTAGAATTTCCTCCTGGATCATGGATATAAATTCAGACCCTTCCCAACTGGAAAACATCAAGAAAATAAAGCTGGAATCCCCCAGTTTGATAGAGAACAGCTTTGTTTGTCTGAAGCAGCTGGGTAAAAGCTGTAAATGTAGTCCCTTTTCCAACTGGAAGCTCCTCAGGGTGAAATATCAGCTGAAAAATTCCTGTTTGGATTTTAAACAGGGAAGAGGGTAGAAGAAATAATGCATAAAGCTTATTTCTCATACCTTCATGTTCCCTTTCTTTGAACAACAAAAAAAGGCATTCTTGCCTCATTTATTTCACACTCTAAGTTCAAGGTATGGACCAGGATGTTAGGAAGCACTTCGGTCCGAATTGACATTCCAAATCGATGCCTGGCTTGAGCTGAAAATGATACTTTTAATGTGTTCATGGCGCAATCTTACAGTGCCACGTTTGACATCGAGTTCGTCGTCGACACATGGGGTGAAGTCGTGAAGCACGACCATCTTGGAATCCGGTGAAAGACCGTTTTCTTTTTCGATTCCGACCCTGACGAGGGTCTCAATGGATGCACTCCCCGTGATTCGACCCATGGCTGGACCTCGCATGGAATCTCCATCTCCATCCGCTATAAGCGACACAACCAGAAAATAAGACATTATCACACCTAGGCCTGCAAAAGCAGGAACGAGCATGGGAGCACACGAACATTTCTTCTTTTTGTTCCTCCGAATGCGAACGGGGCAGAGGAAAGCCATGCCGGAGACCAAGTGCACATAAATGAAAGGAAGAAAGAAAAAGCTGGAGATAAGGGATTCGTTTCTCACGACCCCATGGTCACTTCACATACTCAGTCCCCACGAGACGCCATCATGCAATGAGAAAGAATCCTGTTACAGGTCCTGGCCGCTAGAGACTAAACGCCCCTCTGGCTATTTTCCGATTCCCGACCAGCCAGAGCCAGGGACTTCAACGCCCGGCTCACACTCGTTGTACCTGATCCTCACATGGAGGCCTCTGCGGAAGAGATCAGCGAGGCAGTACATCTTCGCTGCTGTGCTTCCCCGATCGTCCAACTTTTTGCAGCCCCGACAGACTCTCTATTCGCCAGAGCGCATGCGCAAAGCAATCCCTCGCGGGAGGATGAGGTCGAGATGGAGATAATGATACACAGATCAACTCGTTCACTCGTGTTCAGCCTATTTGCACTTGTAAATACGTCCTCTTTGGATCACATCCCCTCTATCATCTCAAGGTTCGCACCCTCGTACACACGCGAAGAAATACGAATTAACAACATCGGCTATGATGATCTCTCACTTCTGAAACATGGGCTCAAAATGCATTTATGTACTCAAATACGTTCAAATTGTTCATCTGTGCGGAATGAAAGAAATTGGTAAGACCTAGCGGCTGCTTCCCTCATGCATGCTTCACTTCAATATTATTAGTCGGAATAATTTGAGAATGACTCTAGTCGCAAGTATTCTCGTACAAAAAATGAGTTTCGTGACGCATCAGGTTCACCTATTTTTATTCTGTAGGTCACTAGTCTGCCGTGCAGGGGTGACAATTAGATTTGTAGTATGACGCCTTGCTTGGATATTATGGACATAATTTGTCTTATGCATTCCTATCCAATGTGGGTAGGCATGAAGAACTTGTATGAAGAACGAGTGCGAGACCTCGACTCGAGATGTGGAAGAAAATAGGAGGAAGAAAGCCTCTTGACGCTCCCAATCCAGTGGCGTGGCCAGGATTTCGTCAATGGGGGGGGCTAAGCGGAACGGTGGGGGGTAGAATTTCCCTTACTTCTCCTCGCCGGGGGGTGGCGGCGGATGCATTTAGACCAGGATTGAGAGGGCTGGAGGCGTCACTACGCCACTGTCCCAATCCCTCACGTTCGACCTTGAATCTGCAGTAGAAGTTTTCCATTCTTTCTGGAATGCATCTTCCATTATAACTTGCGTTTCGAATATATTGTTCCCATATCTTTAGGGAGTGATCCCAAACTTTAGGTGTTTAGGTTTTCATGCGTTTTCTCAAATGCGGCCTAGCGTCACTTCAAAAGTCCCCGCGCATCTTCACTATGCAGGCCGAATTAACAGGTTGACCGCCACGAGGCGCACCGGTGCGCCTCACTGAATGGGAAAATCAATAGGCCAGCATTGCCGTGGCGGTCAACGCGTTAAGAAGTTGCGAGGGCCGGGGCAAGTGAGGGGCTACCCCCCCCCCCCCCCTCTTCCCTCACTTCACGCAAATACTTAACGTTTTTAAGTTCCTTCGGGGGGGCCCCCTGGAAGAGTGGGGCCCGGGGCAACAGCCCCCTTTGCTCCCTTTAATCCACTGTCACTATGAATTACTCAGCTTTTTAAAAAAAATGGCACGGATCGATGAGTTGAAAGCAGCTCCCTGCAAATGGATCACTTTTTTTTTCAAAGGAGGACTAATTTCTTCATCTGTGAATGACCTCATACTGCGAAGGTTTTTTTTTTTTGCTATGAGCAATACGATATGTGATACGTATCGTACCCGATGAAACGTGATTCCAGGGTCATGCGAAACGTGATACGGGGAAGAGGGGAGATTCTCCCATGAGACAGTGGAATTCATTCGAGTGGAAAAACTTGGGTCGTGTTGCGTGAGGAATGAAGAAAAAGTTTTAACCTGGTTGGGCGGTGAAGCGAACCGTCCCGCCGCTCTACTGTGTGCCAGACGAGTTTGTCTCTCTCTCTCTCTCAGTTTCTACTTGGGCAGCTGGCAGTGAAAGCATAAGATCGATTTACGACGTTATTCGACCAGAAGCCAGAGACGCTGCCTCCTCGGCATAAAAAAAGAGACACGAATCTTTTCTCTCGTTCATCTCTCTTTGTTTGCTGACATCTAAAAAGTTGTCGGACTTAAGAAAGCACCTATGCGCCTGCTTAACGGATTTAGTAAAAATAGACACTTTCTGAAATCCTTTAAAATGTTCTAAAGGAATTATCTAGAAGCATTGCTGTCTCCTCGGGATTTTTATACAAAATACTCTATCACTTCTGGTTAGGTGAGATTTCTGTACCGACTTTTCTATGGAACGCTAGAATAAAAATAAATTCTTATTTAGACAGGAAGCGCTAATGAACTTTTCAGAATGGACTCTTTAAATATAAAAAACCATTCCTCATTTTTGACTAGAATTTTAGGCGTCGATTATAACTCCAGTGATCGCACTTCTTCATGTTGGCATATACAGGTATATATTTTATGTAGCTATTTTTTCTCTCAATAGCGTTTCACGAAGAAAAAGAAACAGGACGTCAAAAATGCGGATTTGAACACGAAGAAGAGATGAAAAGCAGGAACGGGAAGAATCTCTTGACTTCCCATGGAGAACGCGCATGCAGTCACAACTACAATGTCCCAAAGGAAAGAGAAAGAACATGGCTTTCCTCTTCGTTGACGAATTCAAATCTCTTTCCTCGCAGCATCGTCGTAGTGAAATAAGAACAATCACGTTTCTTTCGTCCTATTAACTTACTTGCGTACGACAGGTCTCGGGTCGAGACGGTAGTGAGGTAGCACTGTAGCAAACTTAGATGATTTGAAGAGACCGATATAACAAAGATCGAAACGAGCTTCGCCGATGGGAAAGCTGAGAGCAAATTGATGACCTTCCAGAACGGCATTAGTGAAATTGTGGGTCGCAACCCCCAGGGGTCGCATGGTCCATTCGGAGGATCGGCAACACGCAGCGGATCTCTTTCCTTTCACTGCCCCGCCGAACCAGTCCAAGCATATTCATCATCTAATAGGTATCGACCATCGTGACCGACTGACTGACGCTATTTCCAACCGTGTCTATAAATGGGGGAAACCTGAAACTTGGAACGCAAGTAGCTATTGAGTTTCTGAGTTCAGAAAAAAAAATCCCACTTTGGAGGTACGGACCCATCGGGGCACGAATTCTTAGGTGGGAACTTTTCCAAGAAAAATTTTTCGCTCCAGCGAATGGAACAGCTGTAGAAAGCTGAAATGTAGTACAGAAGTATCTGTTGGGCTGATCATTTTAGGAAACGTTCTACTTTTGGAATACGTCTCCGGAGGGCATCCTTTATTGCAGGTCTGTTCGTCCATCGTTTTTCCGTGCAGTGAAATGGGAAAATATAGGCTTGTGAAATTTGGTTAATGTACTTTTTGGAACGTTGGATTCAGATGAAATCATATTATTGAGGTCCGGCACCCCAGAGGTCCTTTTTTGAGGAGGGCAGACGGGTGACCTTCAAGATATTCGCTTAAGGAAAACGACCCATGGCATGATATTATCGTCGTGTTATGGAAGATACTGGATGAAGGAGCGATTTCAAGAGGACCTTTTATGTGAAAACTGAGAATCTCCGCTTGTTTAATGTCGCTGAAAAGCTGACGATGACTTCACTCGACCGGAAGTAACTTGACGCCAAAATGAAAAATACCTAAAACCTAATGTATTTTACCACATTGATGAGTGGAATGACCGAAAACAGATGTTTCAAATGAATAAATGATTCATTTTCATAGATCGTCGAGCCCTGAAGGTGCGATCATTTCAAAGTTTGTGTGCCGGAAGGGGAAATGAAACATCTGCTTGAAACATCTGTTTTCGGCCATCCCACCTACCAATGTGGTAAAATACCCGAGGTCATACAGTAGGTCTTTATCATTTTGGCGTTAAAAGTTACTTCTATTCAATAGTTGCGTGATGTCATCGTCAGCCTGTTAGCGACATTATACAAACGGAGATTCTTGGTTTTCACCCATAAAGTCTCCTTGGAACTGTTCCTTCATCCATGCCATGTGTTGAAATCCAGTTGAATTCTCGATACCTACTGCTGAATGCTGAGGTCATCAATGTGACTTCAGTACGCTATCATGCCATACTGTATTCCCCAATATTGACACGAGACGATGACGATATGAGACAGGAAATTTACATTTGAACAAGAGCTTCGACGTACTGTCACTCACGGTATTAAGCGTGGACCTAGATTCCTACTTCATCGAGTGGCTCATGTACACAATATTCCTACATTTTCATCGCCCTAAAAATCGGGAGTAGCTTCTTATTGTCCTACATGAAGAGGCGTCGTGGACCCAAAAAATGTTTGAAATGATCACTCCCGAACGCGAAGATGGTTGGGGATCAGTGACTGCAGGGTGGGAGTGGTAGAGAGGGGGAGAGGTGAGAGTGGTAGAGAGGGGGAGAGGTGGGAGTGGTAGAGAGGGGGAGAGGTGGGAGTGGTACAGAGGAAAAGTACAGAGGGGAAGAGGTAGAGAGGTACCAAGGGGAAGAGGTAGGAGTCTTATCCTTGCTTTGGGAAACGGGATATGGGAGCAGGATGGATTTCACGCTTAACAGCCAATTATGATTATTTACGTCAAAAAGCCGCCAGTTCTTTGCGCTTCTATTTTTTGTCTCCCACCATCTGTTTCTTTCTTGACATAATTTTTTTTTTTTCTCTCTCTCTCCTTCTATCTCCTTCATGCGTTTCGTGACGCCACGTTTCGGCCATTATTTTTTGTCGGTCACACAGAAATCTATTCCCCGCATCGGGCGGATTCGGATCGTGCACGCCAGCTGCCCTCGGTAGCCTCGTGATCGATCACCGTCCTAAAAAATTATCGTCGGCGGAAATATCATTGCTGCCGCTGTCTGCGGACGACAAACCTATCTCTATTCGCTTCGTTCTTGAGATTTTTTTTCTCGGGCGCAGCCATGCAGTGGCGTGCCCAAGGGGGGAGGGGCGGGGGTTTGAGGGTCATAACTCCCCTCTCCCTTGGGATACATTTTACAGGTTCGCTTCTCAAAAAAAAAAATTATTTGGCCATATATGCAGGGTTATATATATGCATATATGCACTAGTTTTTCATATGTCAAGCCCCCCCCTCCATTGGGATTTTCT